GGCGGGTCAGAGATGATCATATCACGCGCTCTCGAGGCCGTGTCGGCGGCGGCAGCCGCCGCCTCAGTCGCCTCTTGAGCCGCGGCCAAGAAGATCGCACGGCCGCCGGAGGACCGCCCGCCCGACGCCCGCGCCACCGCCTCGAGGAGGTAAGGTCCGGTAAACTTCTCCACACACACGAGGTGGTGGGGCAGGGGCAGGGGGGGGCGACCCTCGCGTCTCCACGTCTAGACGACAGGAGCCGCACGGCATTCATAGTGCAAGGCCCGGTGCGCGTGGGTGAGCGGTGTGTGTGTGTGTGTGTGTGTGTGTGTGTGTGTGTGTGTGTGTGTGTGTGTGTGTGTGTGTGTGTGTGTGTGTGTGTGTGTGTGTGTGTGTGTGTGTGTGTGTGTGGTGTGTGTGTGTGTGTGGTGTGTGTGTGTGTGTGTGTGTGTGTGTGTGTGTGCCTCGAGGATGTGGGCTCCGCCGCCGCCAGGTCGAGACGCCTCCTAGCGGTCGCACGCGGCCGTGTCAGGTGCGAGCAGGCCCTGGTCCCCACCACGCCGAACCACGCGATCATCAACGCAACGCCAACGACCTCGACAGGGCTGGGGTGCTCTGAAGCTCGCCTCCTGAGCCGCCCGCGCCGCTTCTTGCCCGCCGACGCTCCGACTCCGCGCGCGCGGCGGAGACCCCGTCATCGCGCCGCCGCACACCGCGCCGCCGCCCGCGCCGCCGCCTGCGCCGCCGCCGCCCGCGCCGCCGCCGCCCGCGCCGCCGCCGCCCGCGCCGCCGCCCGAGGAGAGCCTCCGCTTGGTCTCCCACTCGGCGAGCCACGACTGCGCCGGCGTCGTCGGCTCCTGCGGCGAGAGGTGAGAGCTCGGGTGAGCGCCTCCCTCCACACGCCCTGTAGTGTGCGGGGAGACCAAGGGCGTGTGGAGTGCGGGGAGACCAAGGGCGTGTGGAGTGCGGGGAGACCAAGGGCGTGTGGAGTGCGGGGAGACCAAGGGCGTGTGGAGTGCGGGGAGACCAAGGGCGTGTGCGGGGACGTTGCTAGATATAAT